GCGAGGCCGAGGTTCATCCACATCCACCACCTGGGGAACGCATGATATGGAACCGCAAGGGGCCGTGCCGCGCCCGCAACGATGGGGGAGCGGAAGGAGCAGCGGGGTGTGGGCTGGGAGAGGGGGGGTGGGGGAGCTGCGAGGCGAAGGTATAATTATCCACATCCACCGCAGGGTGAACCGATGATCATGGACTCAATGGGGGCCGTGCCGCGACTGGCGGAGCGGGAGGAGCAGCGGGGTGTGGGCTGGGAGAGGGGGAGAGCTTCCAGGCAGAGGTTCTTAATCGACATCCGCGGGCCTGGGCAGCCGATGAACTGGGATCCCTGGGGGGGCGGAGGGAGGAGGAGAAGGAGGAAGAGGAGGAGGAGGAGGAGCAGGAGGAGGAGGAGGACGAGGAGGAGCAGGGGGAGGAGGAGGAGGAGGAGGAGGAGGAGGAGGAGGAGGAGGAGGAGGAGGAGGAGGAGCAGGAGGAAGAGGAGGAGGAGGAGGAGGAGCAGGAGGAAGAGGAGGAAGAGGAGGAGGAGGAGGAGGAGGAGGAGAAAGAGCAGCAGGAGGAGGAAAGGGAGGAGGAGGAGGGTATGGATGCAGGTTGGCCCCAAGGGCCCCGCCCGTGTCCACAGCGTCCGCCTCTCCCGAGAGGTCCAGAAAGCTCGGCTACTGAGCATCGCTTTGCCGATCCCTGCCCCCACCGGCGTGGCCTCTTGGCCCCTCTGGCCGATGCTGCCCTATACATGGGGGTATGTGCTGTTCCCTTCGGGGTTGTCGTGGCCTCTCCCCCAACTGCGCGCGTCGGGTGTTTGGGGGGGAGGGCAGAGCCTCGCTGACGCACCAACGGTCGCAGCGTCAGCGTCAAGAGGAGGGGGGAGGAGGGAGCAGGGAGGGGGAGGAGGAGGAGGAGGAGGAGGAGCAAGAGGAGGAGGGAAGAGGTCGGCCGGGCTCGGTCTGGAGGCGGACGCCTATCCTGCCTGGTCAGGCTGCCGCACGCCCCTCGCGCGGCGGTCGCGTGCCTGTGCCTCCCTCCTCTGGAAGGGGACGCTGGAAACTCAAACCCCCGGCATCGCTGGGACGAGACATCGGGCACTCGGGCTGTCGTCGCCACGGCTCGTATCGATGTGATGTCTGGCACACTGGGCCGTCGAGGGAGGACGAGGGAAAAGAGGCAGGGGTGGGCGGAGGCGGAGGCAGGCAGGGACGAGGGAGACGACGGAGGAGGGAGGAGGGCGGAGGGAGGAGGGAGGGAGGAGGAGGGAGGGAGGGAGAGGGGAGGGAGGAGAATGAGGGCGGTGGGGGGTGGAGCAGGGAGGAGGGGGAGGTAGAGGGCTGAGGCGTCTCCTGCGCGTCGGGGGCCGCCTCCGCCTCCTCGTCCGACTGCTCCCCGCCTGCAGCGGGGAGGGGCGCGGTCTGCCCCCCCCCCCCCCCCCCCCCCCGGCCCCGGCCGTGGAGCAGGGACCGACCGCCCCGGCATTCATGCAGGCCCACCACGACATGATTACAGAACAGAAGAGCGCCATGAAGCTTAACGAGCATGAAGCCGACGTGTTGACACAAAACGTTCGCAGCCAATGATGTTCTGAGGACACTTCGTGTCAACCACAACAGGTTCTTGGAACATGTCGTGACGGGTCTATAAGCAGGTCAGGGCGCTTCGCCACTGCTTGATGATGGTGAGGAGGAGGAAAAGGTGGAGAATGAGGAGGAAAAAGAGGAGGAGGGGGAGGATGATCTAGGTCGAGGTTTCGAAGAACTGATGCTTTGTGCAGGTGCTGCTTTGAGTCAGCTAACTCTGCCATTCGGTCCCTCCTGGGCCTCCTGGGGCGCTGCCGTGGCCGCGGCCTGATCCGCCCCAAAAGCGCATGAAGCCAGAGGGCACCTGGGGGGCTGGCCAAGGCAATCGGCCCCGAGGCCCCGGGAACCTGGACCTCTGGCCGAGAAAGAACGTCATCGTGTTGAGAGGAAGGGGCTGCGAGGATGCAGGGTAAGACTGTGCAATCGACCAGTGCCCTTTGGCACAGAGTGGGCGTGTCCTCAGGCCCTTTGCCGAATCTTCTGATGAGACAAAGCCAGGACGAAGAGAAATTCGGGTGAGGGTAAATCAAGAATCTCTGAGATCAGGCGGCTCTGGAAGATGTATCGGGCGTCGCGGCCTTCTTGAAGCGTTTCAGAACGCCCTGGTAGCTTTCCGGAAAGCTCTGGAACGGATTGATCCTCGTCCTTGCCCCGTCCGATCTGAGCCTTACTCCCGAAAACTACTTTAGGGACCCGGACCCCTCTTTCTTGTCGCGTCTTGTCGCGTGACTTTCTTGGAGCCACGAGGGCACCAAGACGGGCCATAGGGGCCCTAAGAGGCCCCCAAGACGGTCCAAGAGTGTCCCGAGTCGCCGAACGATCGTTCCAAGACGCCCAAGATGGCCTCAAGATGGCCAATAGGTCATAAAGACGCCCCAAGAGGCCTCCAAGAGGTCTCCCAAAAGGGCCCCAAGAGGCAAACATCATTCATGTCTCCTAGTGTTTGACCGATGTCAACGTTCTCGCCTTTTCTGCTTTCCGAGGTTCCAGGACGGCCTCGGAGGCCCCCAAGATGCCCCCAAGACCACCCCAAGACGGCCTTAGAAGGCCCCAAGACGGCCCCCCAATTCGCCCAAAAATCGAAAAAGGCCCTAGAAGGCCTCAAGAGGCGCCCAAGATGCCCCAAGCCAAGAGCCCCCCAAGAGGCCCTAGGATGCCCCCAAGGAGACCCAGAAGATGCCCCCAAACGGCCCCAAGACGGCCCCCAAGAGGCCTCAAACCTGCCTCCAAGAGGCCCCCGAGAGGCCCCCCGCGAGATCCCAACGAACATCCAGCAGGCATCATGCCCACAACCCAGGCACGGTGGCGGGATGGGCCGCATGCCATGAGATAAGCACCTGCAAACATTCGCGGCAATACTCATGATATGATCCCTTATCCCTATTCTCCCGACCCGACAACTGTCTTTCTGACCGGAGGGTCGCGAGCAGAACAAATCACGACGGACCGCTCGCTCCAGTCTTCGGGCCTCCCGTGGAGCAAGGGAGTTGAGGGCTCCAGCTGCCACGCGCTGGAACAATAGCAGATCGTGCTTCCTCCCTCGTCTTCGCTTCTCCTCATATCCTCCTGCCTTCTCCCTCCCGTCCCCATCCCCCCTCCTGCCTCCCCCCACATTCGCATCCCTCCTCCTGCCTCCTCCCTGATGCCACCTGCTGCTCCTCCTCCTCAACCCCCAACCCCTCTTCTCGCCCACATCGCCTTCCACTCTTCGTCCTCCTCCCTCCCATGTCCAACCTTCTTCTCGATCCTACATGTCCGTGACTCCTCCCTTTTCCTCCTCACTTCTCGTTTACCATCGTCCTCTTATCTATCCTCTCCCTCCTACTCTCTCTTCATCCACCTTGCTGTCTCCCTCCTCGCTCCGCCACTTCCTCCTTCTGTTCCTTCCGCCTCCTCTTCCATCCTGATCGTCGCTTCTTCTCAGACTCCTTCCTAGACCCTCCTCTCGTTCCCTTCTCCTCTCTCTCGTCCTTCTTGGTCCTTCCTCGACAGCCTCCTCATCAAAATGAGCTCCGCCCCCTCCTCATCCACCCTTGCCCAACCTCCCGCCTCCTGTTCTCCTCCTCCTCATCTCTACTTTTCCCTTCTTCCCCACCTTCATTCGTCACACTCGCCGTCCTCCTCCTCCTCCTCCTCCTCCTCCTCCTCCTCCTCCTCATCATCATCATCATCATCATCATCATCATCATCATCATCATCATCATCATCATCCTCTTCTCATGATTATCACTTCTCCTTATAAACATGTATCCTCGTCCCTCCTGGCTCGTCGGTGATCCTCCTCCTCCTCCTCCTCCGAATCGTCCCTCCTATTCCTTGCTCATCCTCTCTCGCTGCTCTCCCCCTCTTGCTCAGCGGCCGAGAAATTAGTCGAGTCGGCGGCCGAAAGGTCGGAGTCGCAGCTGACGGCTGTGGATGCCAGAGCCCATCGGGGGGGGGAGCAACAGGCGGCGAGGAGAACGCGGATGCGGGCTTCACGACGAGGATCCTGGAGGTGGGAGAGGCGGAGAAGGAAGGGGAGAAGCAGGAGGAGGCCCAAGACGAGGAGGAGGAGAAGGAGGAGGAGGAGGAGGAGGAGAGGCGGAAGGACGAGGAGGGAATGAGCAGGGAGAAGCACGCGGTGCGCGGGAAGGGGGGGGGGCGGCGACGGCGAGGACGAGAACGAGGAGGGCGAGGCGAGGCGGCTGGGCCAGTGCTGGGCGAGCACGAGGAGGGCGAGGCGAGGGCGAGCAGTGGCGGAGCCAGGGGCTGGGCCCCCCCACCTCCTGAGCGGCGAGCATATCCATATCCGCACCCTCGCGGTCTGGACTTCGAGGCGCGATCCCGTGGCTACGCGGTCGCAGGAATGCATCCTGCGCAGGGCATCCGCGACAAGTATTCCCCCTCGTATCCATGGGATCGCGGCCCAGGGGCCCAGCCCGCGAGGACGTGGCTATGGATATGCTTCCCTCCCTCGACCACGAGTGCCCCGCAGGGTCTGCCGCCAGATCGGCGCCACGGGCGCGCGGGAGTCTCGCGCCAGACCTGCTGGAGGCACAGGCGCGATGGGCGCCGTGCCCCGCAGCCGCTGGCAGCGTGCTGGCCGGCGGGCGTCCGCTTCGAGGGCCCGCGTGCAGCGGCGAGGCATCGCCCCCTCTGGGAGCAACAGACTGACTACGTACCTACCAGACCATCTCCACCCAACCCGAAGACCCGAATTTCGCCCGAATTTCGGCTTGGGGGGGGGGGTGCACGGACTTCATATGTGGCCCCCCCCCCCCCGCACTGGAAATGAAGGGCAGATCGGGGCCTTCGGCATGGGTTGGGGTGGTTCGGTGGGCGGTGACAGACGGCGAACGCCGACATCTCCTGCGCCGCGCCGCGGAGGCGTCGGCGGTGGGGCCGCAGCTCCTCAGGTGATGGAGGGCAGGTCCGGAGCCAGATCAAGAAGGAGACCTTCGGAGGCCCGTGCGAACACATGGGGTCGGCGCCGGGGGCCCCTTCTCTCCGCAGAGCGCGCCCGTGGCTGCGCGGCCGAGGCGCCGCCGTGGGCCCCAGAACAGATCCAAGAGATCCGCGTGGACCTTCGAAGGTACCATCAGGTCGGGCCTGTCCGCCTACAGGGGGGATCTTGGACGAGAAAAATAAAAAGTAGTCAGACAAAAAAAGAACAACGTGCTCAGGAATTCCAAACAATCCTCCCTGGACGTGTTTCTACATGTTTGAACAGTCCTCCCGTAGAGCCACACGCCCGACTTACGAGTACCAAAATTACTCAGCTCCGCGTGTTTCGAGGCAGGCCGAGTCGCCGCACCTCGTGCGCCTCGTGGCTGCGCGAAGCCTGGCGGAATTCTTCGCCGGGATCTCTAAAGGACATCTCGCGGCCGCCCTCTGCCGGTTGGCGCCGTGGTTCGCCCCGCCCTCCTGTGGTGTCGGGTATCTGTGACAGAGTATCTGCAGCGTCCTCCTCCTTCTCCTCCTTCATTCCTCCTCCCTCTCCTCCCCCATCAATTCAGCAGACCCCTCACGCGGCTCGTACCCCACGAGGAACTTCGCCTCTGGCACCAGTGAGGTCGCCCGCATGCGTACCTACGCCCACGTCGGCGCACCCCTCACACGGATCGCGCCCCATGGGGAGCTCCGCCTACGGCGCCAGTGAGGGCGCCCGCATGCGTCCCCATGCGCACATTGGGACAACACTTCACACGGATCGAGCCCCACAAGGATGTGCAACTACGGCAGTGGAATTTGCGAAAGATGGCATGGGGCTGTCAACATACTGCATGGTGGGTGCGGCCACGTGACGTTGCATCTTCTGATTTTAAGGGGTGGCCTGCGGAGTAGTATTAGCCTGGGTCGGAAGCCATCTAAATGGCGGAGGGGATGCTCAATGGAAAAGGAATGCAGCCCCGGGGGGGCCAAGAGTTTCCCCTGGCAGCTGCTGAAAGGGGAAGGCACTGTAGTGCATACCCTTGGCAAGAAACCCAGAGGTCATATGAGAAAAATGATGAACGACCAATGCGATTGACAAGGCGAGCACACAGGAAACCCTGTGAACGATGAAGCCGACAAACAGCAACATGTTGCAAAACATCACATGATGAAACGCAAATGATACCCGGCTTGTGTAGATTGCGTCTTGTCGACGATGCCCCTGTCTCTTAATCGATGGGGTGGGATGCAGGCTGCCGTGCCGCAAAGGCACCGTCATGTGAGACAAATGGTCGACGGTGAGGCCGAATCCATGCCAGGAGAGTGAGAGGAAATGCGCGCATCCTTGATCTTGAAGGGTCGCCCCTCCTGTCGCTGCTTACCGCATCGCTCCAACGCATGACGAGGACAGTACACGCCGGTCGGAAGAAGTAGGTAAGAACATGAAGTAGGAAGGCGTTGGAAAAAGATTGGACTTCCGCCCGCCCCCCTGAAGAGGACGAAAGAAGAAAAACCGCTCGACTCTTGAAGTAGGAGGGCGCCTAAAGTAGATTAGGATTCTGGGAATTCAAAAATACCTACTTTCAACGACCGGCGTGTGACACATCCAGCCTGCAATCTGGGGCATCCGCGGGCGTCCCGCCTTCAGCAAGGGACGGCATGGTGGCCTCGAACTTCGCCCTCTCCTCCTCTTCCTCCACCCCGGTGGGGAGCGCCGCGAATGGGAGCTCGTCCTCGTCCTCCTCACGTTCCTCCACGTCCTCCCAAACGCTTTGTGTACTCCTCGTCCTCTCGTCGTCCTCCTTCTCATCTCCATCGTCCCCGAAGCTCTTCCTCCTCCTCCTCCTCTTCCTCCTCCTCCTCTTCTCATCCTCCAACTGCTCATCCTCCTCGAGCCTCGATCTTGATCCCCCACTTCCACACCGCTCCGCACTCGCATTCCCTCCCCGTTCCCCTCCGATCACCCACCCCTCCGCTCCGCACTGTTCCACCACTCCCATCACGCTCCCTCCCTCCCCCTGCACCACTTCCCCTCTTCCCTGCACCCCTGCATCCGCCTCGTGTCCTCCATCTCACCCTCCCTCCCGCCGTCCCTCCGACCCTCCTGTTTTGTTCCCTCTCTCTCACTCTGTCTCTCTCTATCTCTCTCTCTCTCTCTTTCTCTCGCTCACTCTCTCTCTCGCTCTCTCGCACACACACACACCCTCTCTCTATATATATATATATATATATATATATATATATATATATATATATTTTTTTTTTTTTCTTCTCTCTCTCTCTCTCTCTCTCTCTCTCTCCCTCTCTCTATTAGCTACAGCCAAGGCGCTGAAAGAAGGAACAGTTTGGGATCGAAAGGGGCTCGATGTTCCTTAGGTTCCTCCAGTGCTGTTCCTCTTGCCCTCCTGGAGCACGGAGGCGCTTACAGGGCCAAGAAGGGGCTTCGTTCCTTATTTACCGTTCCTTCTTTCAGCGGCCCGACTGTATGTACAAATACAGATATACATAGATGTGTTTGTGCCTGTGCGTGTGAGTGCCTAGATGTCGCTGACCCTATGCTCACATCTCTCCCTGTCTCCGACCCTGCCTACATCTCTCTCTCGATATCCTTGTTTGGGCATCTAGTTCCACACATGTGTAATCATGCCTGTATTACTACCAGTTATCATTCAGTGGTCCTTCCCTCACCCCTTCCTTCCCCATGTTATCCTTATTCCCCACGCTTCCTCCCTCTCTTGATCCATCTATTCTCCACATGCTCCTTCCTCCGAACATAGTGTTACAAACAGGAGGACGAGAACGATTACCATATGAGCATAAGATGTCACCCGCGCGTAATAATCCGTAGCGAGATGACAATAGAGAGGACGATGAGGACAAGGAATGCGCAGCGGCAGGATGACGAGGAAGTGGCATCGGCAGCAGGAGGAGCAGGATCAGAAGGAGGACCAACAGGAGAAGGTGGAAAACCCGAAATGGACGAGGACGAGGCTGCGCAAATAAACCAAACACTCAGCCGCTCGTGCCCCCAATAGGCAGCGGCAAGAAGACCACATACGGGAACTCGCCGGAAGCATGCGAGAAGAGAAGCGGCGCGGCGAGGCAGCCCTACAGACAACACAATTGGAAAGAGCCTGCCGAGTTGGAGCAGGACGATGGTTCCTTCTCCCTCCCCGTCCCTCTTCCCTCCTCCGCACCAGCCAACCATTTTGGCACACCCCTCACACGTTCCGTGGCCCCAAAGGGAACTCCACCGAATGCCCCATTGGCGGTGGTCGCATGCGCCCCCACAACCGTTTCGGACCACAGCTCGCACGCTTCGTGGCCTAATAAGGAAATCCACCGAAGGCCCCACAGGCGGCTGTCGCTTGCGTCCCCGCACCCGATTCGGGACACCCCTCACGCGCTTCGTGGATCCATAGGGAGATGCACCGAAGGTACCCAATGGCGGTGTTCGCATGCGTCCCCGCACCCGTTTCGGGACACCCCTCGCATGTTCCGTGGCACCGAAGGGAACTCCAGTGAAGGCCCCCACAGGTGGTGTTCGCATACGCCCCCGCCATCAATTTCGGCACACCCCTCACACGCTACGCGGCCCCATTGGGAGCTCCACCGAAGGCCCAAGAGGCGGTGTTCACATGCGTCTCCGCACCCGATTCGGGGCATCCCTCACACAATCCGTGGCCCCAAAGGGAACTCTACTGACGCCCCTAGCGGCGGTGCTCGCATGCGCCTCCGCCACCCATATCGGCACACCCCTCGCACGGGCCGTGGCCCTTCAGGGAGTTCCACCGAAGGCCCCCAATGGCGGTGTTCGCATGCGCCCCCGCCACCCATTTCGGCAAACCGCTCACACGTTTCGCGGCCCCATAGGAACTGCACCGGAGACCCCAGGATCGGGTTTCGCATGCGTCCCCGCCACCCGATTCGGGACACCCCTCACACTTACGCGGCCCCATATGGAGCTCCACCGAAAGCCCCCAACGGCGGTGTTCGGATGCGTCTCCGCACCCGGTTCGGGACACCCGTCGCACGCTCCGCGGCCCCAAAGGGAACTCCAGTGAAGGCCCCCAATGGTGGTGTTCGCACACGCCCCCGCCATCCACGTCGGCGCACCCCTCACACGCTACGCGGCCCCATGGGGAGCTCCATTGAAGGTCCCACAAGCGGTGTTCGCGTGCACCCCCGCCGCCCAGATTGGCACACCCCTCGCGCGTTTCGTGGTTCCTTGGGATCTCCATCGAATGTCCCCATTGGCGGTGTTCGCATGCGCCCCCGCCACTAATGTCCGCACACCCTTCGCACGTTCCGTGGCCCCATAAGGGTTTCCACCGAAGGCCCCACCTGACTTGCGGCACTCGCATCAAATATGGTTGGGTTCTTCGTCCGGATGTTTGTTTGCGAAAAGCAAAACATCCCCCGAGCCGACTCAGGCAGTCTCTACAACCCAGAGCTCCATCAACAGGCTGCCACGCAGCGGCTGGGAAAACGACCTGCGACGGCGAGGCGCAAAGCTGAGAGCTACTCGCGTGAGTAGGGGCACCTCCGACCCCTGGGAGGACGGCGGCACTAGCAGCCCAAAGGCCACAATGTTATTCGAGTCAAGGGTCTGTTGCGTGCTCGCCATGCTGCTGCGTAGGTTGTTGGCTGTTATGGTTGGTCATGACTACGAAACCCCTGAAATATGGAAGTGAGCGGGGGGCGCTGGCGGTGTCGTCGGGTGCGGACTCCACGATATGACCAGCGCGCCCCAACATGGTCGTGCGACAATTGAACTCAACCTTTATTGATGGGTCGTGCTTGCCGCCGGGCTGGAACAGCGTCATGAGTTGCCCGGTGGCGACACTGACTCCTCGGGAAAGCAGACACTTGTAGCCTCCCCATGACATAGCAACTCCACCGCTGTGCGACGCTCGGAATCGCACTGTGAGGGCAACGCATCGGTGGTTTCGTTGCGCTGCCAAGCGAACTCGAAGAAATCCTGAACTGCCTGCAGGCCTGGCTCCTCGCCGGGGGTCCCGTACTGGTTGGCGAGGTCCGCATGGAGAACGGTGACGACGTCCTGGTTGGCCGTTGACCAGGCCCCCCTGGGCCATTTCCGCGAAATTCATAGAGCGAGTTCGTTCGCGATCGGCGCCACCAAGGTTCAAGATGAGAGAAGCGCGCAACCGGGCACGATCCATATCAGTCGCCAGTGCGTTCCAAGCGAACAGGTGTTGTATCAAATGAAGAAAAGATAGACGGACTCGTGATCAGACGACCAGGCACGTGGCTGGCCATTGGTGATGCCGCCTCTGCCCCCGCCTGATCCACCTTGCTGTCTGGATCCTCCTGGCACCATGCACAGCAAGGTGGCTACGGAAAAGGGATGGAGATGCTGCCCTATAGCGCCAAGATGGAAATCATCCTGTTCGGCCTCGTAACAATTTGAGCCGCGCGGGCGCTTTGGAACTCGGACCTGCACGGGGGCGAACGCCAGCTCGATACTTGGGACAGGCGTTGCGGCGCTGGGGCCCTCAATCGGTGCTCAAGGTGGTGAAACGGATACGTGAACCATGGGTGCGCCAATCGATGAGCGCAGCGTGCTGACTCACGAGGATGCAAGCAAACACTCCTGCGCACAGCCCGAATCCAATCGCAAGACAGCTCGCCGCTTGGGCCCCACCGCCAACCCAAAAACGGCGAGCATAAATCGGACGTAGCCCCGCACGCATGTGGATATCCGCCAGTCTTAGCGGAGTCGGCGTGCCTGTCGTCGCCGTTGGTGACGTGGTGGCGGCGGCGGTCGTCGTCGCCACCACCACCGCCGTTGCCGCAGTCGTCGTCGTCGGTTGCCGTCTTCGTCGCTGTCGCAGTCGCTGTCGCCGTCGCCATCGTGGTTGTCGTCGTCGTCGTCGTCGTCGTCGTCTTCGGCGTCGTTAGTCGTCGGCTTCGTCCTCGTACTACTCGTATCGTTCACCGCCGGTCGAGAATAAAGCCGTCTCCTATTGGTTGCGCCAGGTGTCGCGCCGTCGGCGGCCGATGGTTGCGCCGCAAGTTGCGCCCTCGGCGGCCGAGAATGAAACCGTCTCCTCTTGGCTGCGCCATAGGATGCGCCATCGGCGGCCGATAATCAAATCGGCTCCTATTGGCTGCGCCATAATTTGCGCCCTCAGCGACGGAAAATGAAACCGTCTCATTTAGGTTGCGCCATGGGTTGCGCCCTCGGCGCCCGAGAATTTTTTTCCTCAGCAGCCTGAGTGCGCGCAGCGCGCACGTCCAGCTCCTGCGTCGCGGGCCGCACGGCGCCCTGTTGGCCGCCTCTGGAGTCGCCGCAAACGGCGGCGACTCGACAGGGCAGAGCCGCGGCAACGCAGCTGCGTCGCGGGCGGCAGCTCAGTGGAAGTGGAGCCCGCCGCGACGCCGTCACGCTAGTGGCCTCCCAGTCGGAGCCACTCCCCTCATGATCTTTTCGGCCTTCCTCCTGCGCTCCGCCTGGGCGCTGGGCTTGAGCGCTGGGGCACAGGCCAGGCCGAGCCCCCTGTGCTTGCCCTTCACCTCCTTTGCGTACTGGAAGCACCTCAGGCAGACGCGGTACCCGAAGAACGCGCGCAGGTCGTGGCCGCCCCCGTCCACGTCGAGCGCGCCAGAGCCGCTGGGCGGCGGCGCAGCAGGCTGGGCCTTGGCTCCCCCGTCGCCTGCCGTCGGCGGCTCC